GCCTTGAAGACAATAAGATCGACTTAAATAAAATCATGTCAACAGCAACTGATGGAGCCAGAAGTATGACAGGAAAAGTTAAGGAGCCACAACGATTCTTCGAGCCAAATAAACCACCGAATTCTTACATTTCACATACACCAAGTAGTGCTTTATGCTAAACATTTATGGCCGAATTAGTTGAGGTTACAAATTTGATAATCAAGATTGTAAACATCATCTTATCAAAAGCACTCTACCATCGTCAGTTTACAGAACTCTTAAACGAGATGGAGACAGTATTCCGGCATCCTTCTTTACAATAAAGTGCGATGGCTTGAATCGTTTTTCTTTGTGCTTGAATGAAATAAATACATTCCTAAATGAAAAAAAGCATTAACCACCCTGAATAAGAGAACGACAAATGGTCGCAAAAATTGTACTTTATGGCGAAAAGAAATGAGCTGAATCTAAAACTGCAAGGAAAGTAAAACCCATCCTGGTTTGGTAGAACAATTAGTTTATTTTGAGGAAAAATTATTCTTTTTGCAGAAGATATGCAATTACTTCATTTTAAATGTCTAAAGCAGTATCGCGATAAAAATCAGTGCAACTATTAACACAAACTACTTCAGCACAGTTAAAAAAAAATCAAAGATGAATTTTTTGACAGATTTGAGCAGTTTAATAAAACTATTCTAGCATTTCTAATTAATCCTCTAAACACAAATCGTAACAAAATCCACATTGAGCCATTTGAAATTGATACTGGATCTCTAGAAATTCAATTGATCGATTTAAAAAGTAAAGCTTTTTGGAGTGGAAAATTTACAGTCAAAAAGCAAGTTGAAAAAGTTGGAGGTCAAGAAATGTATTGTTATAACTCTGCCATTCGAACCGCCATCTAAGCTAGAAGGTGCGCACTGTGATAAACTAGACTGGAAAGGATGTCAACATTAGAAGAGGAGAACGATTTCCGCCCAAGTAAAGAGCCAATATGGAGAGATTGTGCCTAAGATAGATGTTGTTTTGTGTACCTGTGATGTCGTGTGAATAAACGTCTATGTCTCGTTGAGTTGCCTCACTTAAGTAATTACAATTGGTGTCAGAAGTGGGATTATAGGCAACTCAACGAGAGGAGGTAGGCTTTAATTACAATGACATGTTTGAAGCTATTACATCAGCTCTCAATTAAAGAGCTAAGACAAGAGCTTCAGTACCGAGGTTTAAAACCCGTCGGTAGCAGAGAAACGCTCACGGCTCGTCTCCGGCAAGCCTTGATTGATGAAGAAAAAATTCCGGAAACCTACCAGTTTGATATTGAACCTGGGATTGTTGAGGTCATTGGCGAGTACCAGGACTTTAGGAATGCATTTAATGAACTATTGAACATGATCTGTAATATGATGAGGAGCATGATGTGGAACAAAGTAGATGAAAGTGTGTTGCAAGTAGAAGGCCAAATAGACCAAAGTGATAAAATTGTGTCGCAAGCACAAGGAGGAATAAACTCGTTAGGGAAGGAGGAGTTGCCTGGTCAGGACTGTGGCTGCACAAACAGTGGTGATGGAGGCGATGGGGATTGGAGCGCCGTCTGTGACTGTGTTGTGGGCAAGTCTGGCGGGGATGACTTTCAAGACGAGAAACGTGACAACGATTGCTGCGACGATCTCAATGGGATATACAGAATTGGAAGAAAAGAAACAAATGAAGAAACTAGAGAAGTCTGTTATGTGCCTGAAACTTTTGTTCCTGGTATACCTGAATCGAGTACCTCAGTGAGCCGGACAGATCAAGACAACGTTGGGTCTGCGTCCAAGCTTGCTGCTGTGAACCTTAAAGACCTCTGTTTATCTGTCAGTACCTTTGATGAGAACTCAAACCATGAAAGCCTCAAGACCGTTTCTGATTCCTTGCCTTGGATGTCGTCGGGTGAAATTGCGAATACGGGCCCCAACAATGGCCGAGACAGAAACAACGAATTAGACTTTGGCGTCGGCATAAGAGAGAACTTGATGCTTGGCAACTGCTTCCAGACGATTGACAAGAACTGTATATGCGACGCCCTGCGGGGACAGTGCCCATGCCAAGAAACCCAGCTACAAGGTCTGAACTTAACAGACATTTGTACTTCTGCCTACATCAGTGAGAGTGACTTGAACGATGGTGAATTAATTCTTGCAGAACCTGATGCAGTGATGGATGAACATTTGCTTACGGAACATTACAGGGCTGCTTCATGGGCTTACCTTACAGATGAAGCTGAGAAAGACTATGTGTTGGAAACCATGGCTACCTGTGGGCCTACAACTGTGTCACGAGACGTTCATGGGCATACCTTACAGTAGATGTACGTTGCGTAACAAATGTGACAAATTTATAAGAAATGTCTGAAGTTAAGGCACTTAGCCTATATTCGACGCATGGAATAGTCTTCCAGAATGCTACAGTGAGGGGAAGTTGGCATTTGAATCACTGACTATCTTCGGATCAACATATTCGTGCCAGCAAGTGTTATATTCATATATAAATAAAAGTACAGTAAGAAGTCAACTAACAAATGAAAATTTAGAGTCGTGTTTGAGACTAAAAACAAGCTATGAGCCTAATGTATCCAAACTTTCTAAAAACATGCAAAGCCTACGCTTCCATTGAATTTTCTCAATTGTTTGTTATTGAAGTACAGGTTAGTGTTGTAAGTAAATGTTTAATTGCTTTAGTTGTTACCATAAGAAAAAATAATTATCTAATAAAACTATATATAAATTATCTAATTTGGTGTGAAAAACACGTATATGAATTAATATATATTTTTTTTTAATTAAAAAATTTATTGTGCGAGTACTATTTATTGTTGGCAAGAAAAAAAATTGTGGCTCTTTAAAAACTTTACAATTTGGTAAATTTTAATTTTTGGCTCTTTCGACTCAAAAGGTTGCCGACCCCTGGTCTAGAGCTATGTCTTCCCAATTGTCAGTATTGATGTTCACTGATTTGAGGTCCCGTTTTATTACATCTATGTAACGGAGGTGGGGGCGACCAGTTTTTCTTAATGCCATTAATTGTATAATATTCTTGGAGTCGTGTTTTTAAGGTCCTGCCTGTGTTACCAAGATAGATCATTTGATACCTTGAGCATATTTTAGCATATATAAAATACTATTACAGTTAAATTTGCCACTGATCTGCTGGGGGTGGCGAGTGTGTGTGTGTTTGCATGTCTGACAGTTACGTCGCTTACATGGCTAAGTGCCAGGTTCACTCGAAATGTTGTCGATTAGTGTGCACTAATATGTCTTGTAGGTTTTGGTTTCGCCTGAATACCACAAGAGGTGGGGATGAAAAGACGTCGCGAGTATGTTCATCGGCTAGGGCTAGGAGAACGCCACTGATCTTGACATTGTCCTAGCCGAGACATTCGTAATTTTGCAACTAAGCCCATCTCTATCCATTTTAATATAATAACACACATCATAGGGGTACCACTGATCTCCTAGTCACTGCTATCAACAACAACAATGCAATGACAGAAACACCCGTCTGCAGATCGAAAACAAACTTATTTGCATGTCAGACACTCTCCAACCTAACGGGATCAACAACCAACACACCTTTATTTGATATGCGATGGGTACTAACACTACCCCCTTTTCCCATTCATCTTTGACTGACATCTCTCCCCCACCCCTTTTCCGATTTCCCGCGCTTTTACACCAGCGTAGCTCATTTCTTTTCTGCCTCGGTAGAGAACAACATCGGACAAATAATTTCAATTAAGACTATTTTGTGTTAATTGTCTTTGTGTGTGTGTGTTTTGTAGCTGATGAAGGCATCGTAGCCTAAACATTCTTTGTTTAACTTGGTCCGGCAGGGTTTCAAATATGCATGTTTTTCGTATGTTCTATTTCGTAAAGACTATACAATTTACTTTAATGTGAACTTAGTCTAGTCTACCAGCATTCGAATAGGCCTACAAATTACGTAAATTCTTGCATGCATGAATTTAATTTTCTATGCATTACCAGACTCTACATATTATGCGGACATTAACGAATGGATGCCAATCATTATAATCTGGCATTATTATCAGCACTTTGAGGGCTGGATCGTATGGTAGCTATTGGCCTAATGCCAGCACAGATTTCGTCACATAGTCCGTACCTTCTAGAGAGAATATTGGCCAACTTTTCTGTCAGACAACTTTTCTTAAGGGTGTAGATATCTGTATCGTTAGAGTATAGACCACAATGTATAGACCTACTACTAAAGAATAAAACTAGATGTAGACCAGTGTTTCTTAAATTTTTATGTGGGGATAAATTTCGTTCACCCTGCCCTCCTCTTTTACAACTATCGGCCTGGGGGGGGGGCACTCTTGGCTTCCGCAATGGGTTCTATGAAGGTTTGAAGAATGCAATCGATAAGATTTAAATTAAAAAAAAAACTATATGACAATTTTTCCTTTTTATTTTTCATCTACAATTACGATATGTTTGGAATATTTATATTTCAGCGTCTGAGCTTCACAAAATCTTTCCGCTAGTGTCTACCATTTCTTTTCCTTGTAGTAAGAAGAGAGCTATCAAATATATATATATCATGTCAAGGTAAATAGGCGAGGGGCGTTCTGATATTGGAAGCACGACAAATAGCTCACGACATTTGATTCAACCGACGAATAATTCACAGACTATTGGCTCACAGACAATAGGTTCACAGACTATTGGCTCACAGACAAATGGTTCACTGTAGAGTCAAATATTCTCGTTGAATTTGTTTACAAAATGTAAGAACACACAGAGGATTGAGCTTGTTGCTATTGTTTCCACTATTTTTTATTTTACAGCTAGAACACAAGAAATATGTGAATATTGCTTTAAGATGGCTTTGTGTTTAAAACGCATGTTTGTATGAAGATGTTATTAGTTTAAATATAATGAGAAATAATATTACATAATACTTCTTCTGATGTGCGGTGTCGTATTAAACTTTTTCAAAATGATGTTACTGCAAAACAGAAGTGGTATTGTTAATATTGTTTATTTCAAAATATCAGAATTCAGAATACATTTATAAGTTGTTGTTTTTTTTACAAAATCATAAAGGCAATGATATGATACAAAGTAGCTTTCGGCAATGTAAACATGAAGGCTACAGATAGCTACATAAAAGTAAAAATATTAAAAAAAAGGGAAAAATGAATGAACAAATTAGATGAATTAAGAAAATGAAATAGCTGGTTACTTCCCTTATAAAAGTAAATTCAGAGTCTGAAATTGAAAATTTTTTTTTTAACGTAAAAAAAGTGACCTATGAGTGCTATGACTTATGTCACTATTATTTTAACAAATGTTACATGGCAAAGAGATGAACAACTACTCATTCTTTATCATGATTGGTAGAGAAGTTGGTAGCTGTTCTGCTGTTTTCTCTCTCTTAACTATTGTTGGTATATACAGGAAAATTGTTATTTACTTATAGCCTAAGTGATGACAGTGAACATGGTTTCAATTTGGGACTAAAATGTTAACAGCCTATCATATCTCCTTGACGAAATAAGATTATTTACTTGAAAAAAAAAACTTTAAAAAATTTTTCTTATTATGACTAGGTAATCTTCGAAAAGAAGTATTCATTTTACAAAGATTATTTATTCATTCAAAAAGCAATAGAAAAAACATCATTTTATTGGACAAGTATGACATCACTGTAAGACTATAAGAGATAGCACTGTCATTTTTATACAAGATAAATATTGCTAAAATCAAAGATATGAACAAATATACTGAAATTTGTGACAAATGTTAAGTCATTAAGAAAAAGATTTATAATTATAATTTTTTTCCAAATTGTTATCTAAAACAAATTGAAATATTGTGTTTAAATTTGTTGATCTTAATAAAATATAATCTAATTATTAGAAGGGAATATTTCTTAAAAAAAAAAAAACATATTTCATCTGCTTTTTTAAGTGATAATAGAAGATTGTTTAAAACAAATACATTAATTTTAAGTCAAGTTTCAAAATCTCAAATGGTAATGTGAAATATGATTTAAAAAAATCCCCAATAGAGCATGAAATCTAAATTGAAATTGTATTAATTAATATGAATGTCAATGTACTTACTTTATAAAGGACACATTTTTGTGGGAAATTCAAAGTTCTCTGTACACAGCTTTTATTTTTTTTTTGTTAGATGTAAAGTCAAAGTGTCACATAATAGCTTAAAATTTTATTTTTTTAAAAATAATCTTTCATATAATTTTTTACCATTCTACACTATGATGAAAAAATATACATAAGAAAACTTCTTAACAACAATTGGCATGTCACATGATTAATAATGCTTACATATACTTTTTTAAAAACATAAAGGAAACAATTAAAGCATCACCTTTTTAAATGGTGGCTATTGATAATCAATTTAGATAGGCAGGTAAATTATAAATCAATTCAAATTAGCCAAGTTGTTGCTATTTTCATTCATAAAAAAAAATTTCTTTCTATTCCAAATCCAAAGCCACATACTAGGTTTTTAAATGTTATAAAATCTACTAATTTTATCAAATTATAATGAAGTTGTGATTATTTTCATAAATTGATTTTTAAAAAAAAAACACATTTTGCTTAAAAACTAAAGATATGATGTAAACAATGCAAAATGCTTGTGATGAAGGGCTATTACCTCACCTTATTGGTTATTATTGCCACAGGAAGACATCATTTTTGGTTGATTTTAGTTAAGTGAATTTGAATTAATTAAATATATTTTTCATAAAATTAATTAAAATTAAATTCTATAAAACTGCCAAATTGTATGGACAATAAATTTAACCCATATATTTTTTATTTACTTATTTACCAAATATAACAAGTAATAAAGAAAACAGAAATTTATTGCACATGAAAAATTTTGAATTTAAAATAATAAGCATTTTTTTTTTCAAAGCCTGCTTATTTGAAGTTACTTGGCCAGTGCTTAATCTGACACAGATATGAATGTAAGGGTTACTTGGGACACCCCAATAGTCCATCGGACTCCTTGACAAGTGAAATTAAGTTTTTTGATAAAAGCAAAACAGTAAACAGAAAAAAAGTCATGTGATAATCAGTAAAGTTTTGAGAGATATAGGTGATACAATAAAATAAGCACAAATAAGTACAAGGTTCACTTTGATTGGTGTAGTGATTTACTTGAGGGAAACATGGTGAAATCACAAAGATATCATTAAGTTTTATGAAATTAGATGCATGTGGATCATTGCCATATCATACATGGTGCATTCAAAAATGTTGTGGAGCTCAGGACATCTTAATGACTCAAATTGTTCCAAAGAGTTGTCTTAGTGATCATTGCCCAATAAAAGTAGGTTTCAATGAAGGGCTATTACATTTCTCATTAAATCTTATGATTAAAGAATGGAACACATCACAGATATTCATATAGCATCACATACACATTTACAATATCTTATAACACCTTTTATTGAAGTGCTTCATCTGTTTTGACCACCAGGTCATATATATTTATATATAGATATGATGGCAGTCTGGTGTGCAGTATGCGCACTGGACTCTCTTTCGGTCATTGTGATGGTCCCGGGTTTATACCTGACCTCTGTCATTTCCTGTTGTCTTGCAGGTTTGGACTAGGAAGTAGATTATCTTCAACATCCGAAACATGTATAACATTTTACAAACTTATACAAGTGTGTGTGATGTGAATAAACTGGAGTTCACATTAGGAAAACACTATGAAGTCTATGCCTCCACATAAGGTATTTCTTTCAGGCAATGACTAAAAATGATTTTCATACCTTGTGCTAATGGTCTAAAAAATAAAATTGTGCAAGCTCCACAAACATAAGTAATAAGATATGTTTATTTTTAAAAGCTATGCTTTTTTTAAAAATAAAAATTACAACACATTCTACTACACAAATTCTGGATTTGGTTCTTTAAAAATGTTGGTTCAGTATCAGTAAAACTATGTGTTTGAATTAACACTGCACCACAAAAAACAGGTATTATATTGTGATACAATTAAAAATGTCAGCAAAATAACTATAAAAATTTGTTTTTTACTAAATCAAGAATTTAGTATAGAAAAAACAACGAATAAAGCAATAATTTTTATCTAGTAATATTTTTGTGGCAAATAGTCATATATATATATCCTAATATTTAAAACAAAACGTTAACACTTTGATGTGAAGGCAAAAAATGATCAAATGCCCTGTGCTAAAGGGAAATGATCATATGCTCTGTAAGAACTCTTTCACTCATTGGACTCTTGGACTCGTTCAAGTTGTTCCTGGTTTTAAAGTCTTTTCTGTATACTGAAAAGTAGAACTTGCAATCCCAATGAGATTAAAAAAAATCATGGCTGTCAAAAAGAGCAACACACTTGTTTATAATTTACAGTGACTAGGCTGACATGTTTTTGTTTCTCCTCATTATATTCACATTTCGTTGAGCTATAAACTTAACAAGAATTATTTTTTTTTTTTGCATGCAAATTATGTTAGTTTAGTTTAATCTTAGTCATTTGAACTTACGTGTGTACAATAGCAGCCCAGACCTACATAGTGTATACAAATAATCATAAAAATAGTAATTTACAACTATAGCCACATAGTTGTAGCAAATGTATTAATATTATGTCAGAAAGAAAATGCAGGCAATTTTGATCTGTTTTTTTATTCATGATTTTTTAAATTACCTCTTTCAAATAACTTAGTTTTTTTTGTTGTTGTTGGCCTAAAAGGTTTAAATAAACAGAGAAGGAAATCAAATCTAAATATTGTTTTTTTTTTTTTTTAAAGTGAGTAAGCCCTGTATAATTTTAACATAATTTTAGAAAAAAACATCACAAATAATAAGCTCTGGTTTGTTTCTTTTAAGATATAACAGCCTCAATGGCCCATCTGTTTTAAAAAAGTATTTAACTGAAGTAGCATAAAATGTGATTTCATCAGGCAATGTGATTATTGCTGTCACAGTAGAATGAACATGGAGCACAAAATAGATGAATATTTTCTTTTATAGCATTACAAATATGTGTTATTGACATAGTCTTAAGTAAGTAGTGACACATTTAATCCACAAAACTAACAGATAAAGTACAATTTTGTATCAAGTACTCTGACTGTTTTTATTATTACATTAAATGGAGCACTCTCAAACATATTTCAATTTACACCCAAACAGAAAAATAGCTATAAAATAAGGGGGCCGAGTTTAAAGCTTAATTCACAGAATACATCAATCATAACTAAAATAGAATATTGATTAAAAAGTAAAGTCTGACAAAATTGACAATTTATTTTGCCAACTGTACTTGACACAGGAAGGGAAAGACTGACATGCCTCGTCAACAATTTTTCATGGATTGCTGCATTATTAGAAGAAACATTCCAGAAAATTGAGACAATGTGTCAGCACTTTATTTTCTTGAAGAAAAAATATCATTTCCTTTTTAATTGGAGGGAAAGAAATACGCTAAGAATCATGAAAAGAGAACAGCAGAGCTACATTTTGGGATGCCTACTGAAATAAGATGAGCACATTGATAAAGCAGGTATTCTTGCTGCCCACCTTTTGATTTAGAATATTTTTTCTAAGGTGAATGTTTTGTATACTGGTAGAATTTTTTTTTTACTAGACACAAAAATACAACACTAAAAAATATTGATGTATTTTGTTCCAACTTCTTTCAAATGGCTTTTAAAGAAATTGTAATTCTACAAAATTTCATGTAAAAAATATTCAATGTTCACTAGAAATAGTTTATGTTAGTTCAATTCTACTTCCAACGATCTTCCTCTTCCTTCATCTTGCTTGGATCCACTTCATTTCTCACACCCTGCACTATGCTGGTCCCAGCCTCTGCCAAGAGGGCCAGGGGTTTGAACAAACATTCAGGTGCTGCATTTCTAAGAGCGCCACCAACCACTCCTACATAGCCTTTGTGTGCACTCTCTTCACTAACGATAGCGGACAAACTTGAGGCAGACTCTTTCACTCCCTTAAAGATAAAATGACATCATTTATCATTGAGACCTAGGTTGTGGACTACAGGTTGTATACTGTACTGTATATAGATATAGATCTAGATTAGTCATATGCATTTCAAGACAAAAACAAAGTCTGTTTTGAGAGTCAATGTTCCATTCTTCAAATAAGGTAATATTGGTGTCTGCACTATTTTTGTTTTGAGAGTTAAATGTTCCATTCTTCAGATAAGGTAATATTGGTGTCTGCACTATTTTTGTTTACAAAATATGACTGACTGAGGCACAAAAAATGTTCCTGCCTCTAGATATAAGCAAAAACAAACAAAACTGGATCAATAAAAAATCTTTGTTAACAGAAAATCATAGATGTTCCTTGGATGTCAGGACCTGCATCAACAGTAGTGAATAATTTAGTTAGCCTTATAACCATTGAGAGACACATTCATACACAGTTTTAAAAGTTTGTTTATGGATCAAACTGATAATTGTTAAAATACAATGAAGTTTTATTAAAATAAATATTTTAAACTTTTTTCTGTAATAAAAAGAAAGAAAGAATCTACCAACCTCTGTAACCAAGGTCAAAGCAGTTTTAGCACCCTCTGCAATGGTTCTAGGTTGTCGACTATTCTGTCTTAACTGCTTACGCCGCCTCACACTAGGTCCAGGTGACATCATATCATAGCCCATCTCAGCACAATACTGATAAACAAATTTTACAGTTCTTAAAATTAAACCTTTTTCATTATGTAAAAAGTTGAAGTTGGATACAAATTGTTTTAATTT